ATTTATCTGTATATGATTTAACAGTTCATTTCTTGTTATATATCTAATTATCTTTATAAATAAATATATTGAATTATCAGCAATTTGGTTTTATCTCTCTAGAGAACCCTGTCTAACACATCAGGTCAGATGCTAGGCTTCTAGCTACCAAAGGAATCCAGCATTGGCAGGTAAGATGGCTGGCTTCTAATGACTCTCAGGAGTCCAAAGAACCAGAGGTGAGATGACCAAACAGATGTAGGATCCAGACTCAGCAAAAAAGCAAGCAAGATTTTCACGGTGTCTACTTATATTGGAAGCAAGCCACGCCTCCAAAGAGATCTCATCACATGGGAACTGCTGTCTTAATTGCCAAACGTATGCGTAGGTTTTCATTAACAGAACTGATGGAATACCCGTTGAAATTTCTCAGAAAGCAAAGAAGCACTGGAATCACTCACTTATCTAAGCCGGGAAAATTGGAAGACAGCTACTTGGCTGACTGACTGGAAGAGATCCATATTTGTGCCCATTACAAAGAAAGGTGACCCAACAATGCTCACCAACTAGAGAACGAGATCACTGAAAAGGCACATGGGTAAATGTTTGCTTGGGATCATGCAACAATAGTTGCAGCAGAACATTGACAGGGAACTGCCAGAAGTTCAGGCTGGATTCAGAAGAACATGAGGAACAAGGGATATCATTGCGTTGTCAGCTGGATCTTGGCTCAAAGCACAGTTAACTTGTATTTCATTTACTATGCAAAGGCATTCAGCTCTGTGGACCATAATAAATTGTGGATAACCCTGACAAGAATGGGAATTCGAGAACATTTGATTGTGCTCATGAGGAACTTGTACATAGATCAAGAGAAAGTTGTGTGGACAGAGCAAGGGCATCATGCAGGGTTTAAAGTCAGGAAAGGTGTGCTTCAGGGTTGTATTCTCTCACCACACTTGTTCAGTCTGTATGCTGAGCAAATCATCAGAGAAACAGGTTTATATGAAGAAGAGTGTGGCATCAGGATGGGAGGAAGACTTACTAAGAACTTGCAATATGCAGATGATACCATCTTGTTTGCTGGAGGTGAGGAGGAATTAAAGCACTCACTAATGAAGATCCAGGATTGCAGCCTTTAGTAGGGATTACAAATGTGAGGAAGACCAAAATCCTCACAACTGGATCAATAGGTAACAACATGGTAAATGGAGAAAAAGTTGACGCCAGGGACTTTGCCTCACTTGGTTCCCACAATCAGTGCTCATGGAAGCAGCAGTCAAGCGATCAAAAGGTGTATTGTATTAGGTAAATCTGCTGCACAGGACCACTTTAGAGTATTAAAGAGCAAGAATGTTACATTGAGGACTAAGGTGTGCCTGACCCAAGCCATGATGCTCTCCACTGCATCATAAGCATGTGTAAGTTGGACATTGATTAAGGAAGACTGTAGAAGAATGGATGCATTTGAATCGTGGTGCTGGTGAAGAATACTGAAATTACCATTGACTGCTAAAAGGACAAACAGATCTGTATTTTAAGAAGTAAGGTCAGAGTGCTCTTTAGTGGCAAGGATGGCAAGATTTCATCTCACACACTTTGGAAATGTAGTCTGGAGAGACCAGTCCCTGGAGAAGGACATCATGCTTGGTCAAGCGAAGGGTCAGTGGGGAAAAAAAGGAAGGTCCTCAACTAGAATTGGCACAGTGGCCGCATCACTGGGCTCGGACATAGGGATAACTGTGAGGATGGCACAGAACCAGGCCAGGTTTCATTCTGTTGTGCACAGGGTCACTATGGGTAGGAGTCAACTTGATGGCAACTAACAACAACAACAACAAGTGCCAAACCTTAACGATCCTGGCGTAGCCAAGCTGATCCACACATCAACTATCACAACAATAACTCATCAATGGAGAGGAAAGGTATGCTCCTATTAGCATACCAATTATTTTTCAGGACATGTTAAGTTGCTTTTTCTTCTTTTTTTGACCCTGAACTATAGTAACTGTATATTTGGGCTGATAAGGAGGAATATATTTTTCTGGACCATCCACAATATATTCTAAAAGCTCACTTGTAAGGTGAAATATGAGGAAATGAGGTCTATTTGATCCATTTTTTTCTAATTTCTAAATGGCTATTTAAATACAGATAACAGGACACAAGACAAACTGAAGAAACAGGTTCAGCCACCCTACCTAGCTAACCTTGTTACTTGATACGTTCACTCAGATAGCAGGATCAGCAATGCAGTACAACAGGCTGGGACTTTGCCCAAGATGAGTCCTCCCATGCAAGAAGGAGATTTCATACTGAAAACTGGGGTTGGGATTGGGGAGGTAGGGGAGTGAGCAGACAGGGCGGGGACAAATCACTCCTTGACATATGCCGGGTAAAAACAAAAGACAAAAGGAATATAAAAGTCAAAGTAGAGCAGCTATCTAAGGTGCAGCCATTGGTCTCTCCCTGTCCTGAGCAAAGAGTGAGGAAAATAAAGAACGCTGGGAAATAATTAGTGTCATGGACGAATTGGCCACACAAACACCAATTTCCAAGACCCAGAGACCAAAAGAACTATATGGTGCCGTGCTTGGCTATAACGACAATACTCTGAAAGGGATCACATAAGAAGCTCCTGGACAGAATGGGGGAAGCAGGTGGAATAAGCTACAGCTCGTGAGTGACCAGGCTGACCAGTCAGCTAGAGCGGTGGAGCCCCTGGGCCTCTGGACCTTAGTCATCCCTCAGGTCTAGAGCTGAACATACCCTGCGGCTTAACTTTCAGCCCAACTAGAGACAGGTCAATAAGGGGAATAATAACACTAGTGAGGTATGAACACTTCAGAATAATCAACTATTTGAGCTCAAAGGGACAGCTTTTACCCAAGGGCAAAGTCAGAAAGGCTGGAAAGAGGAGGAATGGCAATAGGAAACAGCAGGAGGAAGTGGGATAAGTGATGTTCGGTTGAGGGGATTACCAAGAAAGGGATGGAACAAAATGTGTGTGAACTGTTGAATGTAAAACTGGTGATGTGCTCTGTAAACCTTCAACCTAATTCACAATAAAGTTTTTTGGTGTTAGGAAAGGTCAAAGACGGCATTATTCACATAAATGTAAACCCTCAAACTCACTGCCATCAAGTCAAGTCCGACTCAGAGCAACACTATAGAATAGAGTAAATCTGCCCGCGTTTTCTGAGACTAAATATTTACGGAAGTACAGAGTCTCCCCTTTTTCCAGTGGAGTAGTTGGTAGTTTCGAACGGCCGACTTCTAGGTTAGCACCTCAACATGAAACCCCCGACAGCACCAGACCTCTTTTAAAGGTACTATATAATTGCAAAGGCAGTGAATTACTTAACGTGATTCTTCTAGCCAAAGTCTCTAACTCCCACCAAATGATCTTTTCCTTCATAAGTCTGATACAAAGGTCTGATAGGATCCTTCTGTAACTGTGAACAGGATTCCCTGGGGCGGCATCCTGCTGTGCATAAAATGAGCCCTCGGAGAAGCAGGAGGCGAGGGGTCTCATTACCAGCAAGAGCCATGAGCATAGCGAGTCTTCTGGACCTAAAATCTCTGCACAGGGTTTCAGAAAGCAGATCCAGAACCAGGAGCCAGAGCATGGAACAGAATGGTGGACATTCCAACCCATGGAGCAAATAAAGCTGAGTGCTTTTTTGTGCAGGAGGCTGGTTTGTGGAGTAGGGTGCCTCTGGGCACTTAACTGGGGAAACTGGCCTTGCCGACTCGTGGACATAGAGCTGAATCCTTTTGGACTGAGACTTACAGTGGAGTGGTATGTCCTTTGGACCTTCATTAGCATACCTGAAAGAATTTTGTAAACAACTCTATTCTGAGCTTCTCTCCCCAGCATCACAATCTGTTACCATACCTTAATAAACCCTTTAACCATGAATTTTGTCTGAGTCCTGTGTAGCCGTTGCAATGGATATTAGAATATAGAGATCAAGTTGTTGTTAGTGCCATCCAGTTGGTCACAACATAATGAAACAGTGCAAAGAATTCTACTGAAGACAACACAATAATACAGACATTTCTTTGAAGATGTAAGAAAATGTAAAACATGAACGTGCACCTCAGTTTTCTCCATGGAATTTAAGTGGATACAAAAATAGCCTGTCTGGTGGCTGGCAGAGAAACCAGAACACTCCCTCAATGGCAGGTAGCATTTTCTTGAGGACATGCATTTCTCTGCCAAAGCTTGCTTTTCTAGTGAGTATTGTTTGCACACGTAAAACTGAACATGCTACTGCCACAGAACTTCCCCCAAGTGTTATAAAATGATTACGCGGGTTCACTTAAAAGCAATCACTTGTGTAAGCACCTATTTCTTGACAGCTCGTCTCGGAACCCCTGGGTGCTTCTCTACCTCATTGAAGTTCGCAGTTGGGAAAACGTTTTCAATAGTAACCAGTTAGGTATGGTCCCACCACCGGGGGAGGTTGAATGATGTTTTCAAACATTCATCCAGAAAGCCGGCTTCTGGGCCCAGAATACTAAGACTAGTGAGAACAATGGGACATTTCCAAGAATGGCTCCTATTGTGCAAAACGACTTAACCTTTTGGAGTTTCTCCTATTAAACTAGGGCGTTATGAAATTTGAAAGCGTGGTGGTTATGTGCTGGGCTCTAACAGCAAGGTCCGCAGTTGGAAACATCCAGCCGCTGCAAGGGAAAGACAGGCTTTCCATTCCAGTTAAGAGTTCAGTCTCAGACCTACAGGGCGCAGTTCTGCCCTGTTCCTCAGGGCGGCTGAGTCAGCAGCCCGGTGGCAGTGAGTTTGGTTTGGGGTTTCCCAGGGAAGGGGAAAGGGCTATACACAACCCTTTATAGCAGAACTATGAATTCAGCGCAGCATCAAGGCGTGCTGGTTGGGATGGCATTTCAGCGTAGCATCGGCCCTGCACAGGGAGTTTTTCCGGCAGCAAGTTCAGGAAACTTCTACCAACTGCCGGGCACCTCCCTTGGACTAAAACAAAGAACAGCGGTCCTGTTCAACTAGGGACCCAGCGGAATTTGTAGCCTCCGTTGACTGTCCGGATGGTGAAGGCGTTGCCCTGGGGGAAAGCCAGGGTGCGGATGGTACTGTGGCTGCTGATGGGGGTACTAAAGGACCCACCCTCCTCCAGCTCACTGTGGCTCAGGTTCAGCACGCTTTGGCTGCATTCTGTCCGCAGCCCCCGGAAAGCACCGTGCAAATTGCTGGGCCTGTAGTCCGTGCTTGCGGGCTCTGGCTGCAGCCGCGGCCGCTTGGGGTCGTGGCTCTTCAGGGCTTCGTCACAGAGCTCCGAAATCTCTTTCAGGATGGAGTCCATCTCGCCGCAATCCTGGCCAGCAACGCTGAAGACCTCTTCCAGGCTCCTTTTGGCCGTGGTTTTGAGCAGCAAGGGTTCAGCTGCCGTCTGGCAGTCCCAGGACTGTGTGATCATCAGCTTCTGAGGACAGTGGGGCAGGGGCACATTGGGCGGCATGAGGGCAATGTCCTCCAGACCAGAGGAGTCGCAGACGCACCCCTGCAGGTGGCTCTGAGAATGCTCAACTGCTCTCCCTGCTTTTCCCTAGCTGCCCCACCCCCATCCCACCCGTCAGGTCCAGCACTGGCAGTGGGTTCGAGGGGTGTACAGCAGTACCGGGATCCTATAGGGCACACACACCCTGACATCACTTACATCCAGTACTGAGGCCAGATGCCGGGCCCGACTGGCTAGTTCCTTCAACTGCACGTTTTGCTCTTTGAGCGAGGTGATCTCCTCCTGCTTCTGGGTCAGCGACACGTGCAGCTGCAGGGAGAGGAGACCCAAACATACACGGATAGGCCAACTGTGCTTGGTCTCGTTTGCACAGAGTGTGTGTGAGGGAAACCCAGATCCTAATGTCTTATCGGGCATTAGGGAGCCGAGGGCATTGGTGTGAGCACACACCCGCACAGGCGCACACACAGCAAACTAACTTTCGGGAATGAGCTGATTCTGACGCTACGGGGCAGGGTAGACCTGCTCCTCCTTACAAGAGTAGAGAGCCTAGTCTTCCTCCTGAAGAGTGGCTGTGGGTTTTGAACTGCAGACCTGGCCATTAGCGGCCCAGCTTGCCACCACTACTTAACCAAGGCACCTGGTATTTACAAGAGTGACAATAATAATCAATTTCCTTCATTGGACTTTTCTTTTACAAAGCATTTAGGCAAAAGATAAATGAATGCTCAATTTGGGCAACAGTTCTAATCTAATTTCGCCCTACTTGGCTAGGAAATTCAACCTTCCATACCTCTTTTCCTTACCTGTAAAATGGGTCTGAGTACCACCTCCATAGGTAGTTGTATTAAATAAGTGTTAAGTTAATTGATACGCACAATGCCAAGCACATAGAAAGTTCTCAAAAATACATGTATATATCTATGTTTATATATGTACCGGAGGCTATAATAAAAATCGGAGGAGAGGGGGCTGCACAGTCCCTTTTAGTGCACTGGAAACTCTGGCAGAGCCATTAGTGCAATGGCCACGGAAGCTCCTCACGCTGGTCTACTGGTTCTGATGTCCACGGATGCATTTCTGCCCCTGTGCCGCTTTGGCAACCCCCACTTCCGTCCATCCCTTTGCCCCTGCCCAAGATTCCTGGCCGCCTACTTGGTTATTCTCAACGAGCGCGTCGCCCAACGCCCTCTGGTTCTGGTAGGCCACCTCTTTCCAGTACTGCTCCGGCGGTGCCACATCTGGAGGGCACAGCGGCGGGGACCGCACGGTCCTTGGGTCTAGCGGTGGCGGGGAGAGGCAGGCTTCGAACGGTGACACATCACAGGGCGAGAAGGGGAAGTCTCCGCCAGCCAGCGGGGGTGACATCAGAGAGGCGTCTGAGGGAAGAACGTGAGCTGGGTTTACAGCCAGGTGTCAGGGGCGAGATGCCAGGGCTAGTTGTAGAACACATGGGAAGGTTTTCTCCGTTGAGAAGAGGACCCCTCACTCCCTGACACCCCGAGAGACACCTTGTGCTCACACCGCCCTCCCTCGGTTTTGTGACTGTTCAACCCATCTGAACCGCCACTTCACGGTGAGCAGTGCAAACGTGCACCTGCTGCCACTCCTGGAACCAGCCTGCACCTTGCCCATGAGGAAGGGAAAGGGGTCGCTAACAGATGGCCGGGATACTACTTCACGGCAGGCCCTGAAATCAGGTTTGGGGGTGTGGGACACCCCTCCGCTGTTACTCAACTGCAAGGAAACCGGACTTGCCTGCAATGAGATCATCCACCGTGTTTCTGAAATCTTGCAGATCCACGAAGTCCGGTTCGGCGTGAAGAGGACGGTTCTGAAATAAACCGGAGGTATAGCTGGCTAAAGTGGAGTCCGGAGAGGGGACAGACTGCAAGGCTCAACTGCAGGTTTGCAAGCACTGGAGTCTCATACCTGCAAACCAAAGCTCCCCCCTGCAGCCCAGCAGGCTTGCACCGCCATGGTGGCGAGCAGCATGCGCGGGGCGGTGACCAGGTCCTCCAGGCTCCCGTCCACCTGCCCAGTCAGGCGCGGCAGGGTCTCCCTTCGGTTCTGCGCAGTCCAGCTGTCCAGCTTCCGAGAGCCGCTCACTGGGCCCCGGCGCCGCCTCATTGGTCGGTCACAGGCCAATCAGCGGCCTGCTGGCCTCCAGAGCGTTCCACACCGCTCAGCATCCTAACCCAGACTTACCCAGGACACGGCGCAGGCAGCAAGGAGAACGAACACTGTTCTTTAGCGGTCCTCCAAGGCAGAAACCTAAGACCCAGTTTCTCCTGAGGCGCAGGCGTACACGCATCATAAAGGCGCGGGGGGGGGGGGGGGGGAAAACCTAGGTTTTGAGCAGTGGTGGAACTGGTCTTTTCCACTCCCCCCAAAGTGCAGTGGACTTTTCCCTACAGTCCCATGAGTCTTCAGCATCTTGAATGAGACACTCCCCTGGGTCCCTGCAATGTGTCTGGATGCAAAAGGGGCCTTTAAAAAAATCGTGGACATTGACAATGGAGTCTTGCCCTTAATCCTACAGCAATAGTGGGAAGTTGGCAGAGTTGGGAAGTGACTCCTCATCCTTGGATGGAGAATCTTAAGCTCAGAGATTCTGAGTTGTCCAAAGTAACCCAGCTAGTAAATGGGTGGGATCCCAGCTCCCGTGCCAGTCTGGTGCCAGCTTCCATGGCTCTACACCTCACTGCCTCTAGTGTTTACCTCTGCAGAGATAGTTTTCCCTGGAGACAGCACTGCTAAAGGTAAAGGAGTTTCCTAAGGGCAGCCTGGGGGATGCGTCCAGTGCTCCCATCAGAAAGAGCTAGTTTACTGACTGCCCTGACATTCCACTATTTCCTGTTCATTCCTTTGTGGTGATCCTATTCTTTTCCTAGAACCCCCCCCCCATGCCCCGCCACACCCATCTTTACGATTCAAATACTTCTGAGAAGAGGAACCTATTCTGACTCTAACTTCAAAGAGCAGACAGGCCTATCAGTTTTCCAAGGAGAGGAGAGATTTGCATTTGGAGGCTCCTGGCACCCAGTGGGGAACTCAGGCTATAACAGGAAGTGGTTTTAAGAAGTTAGTGCTGAGGACCTCACACAATCCTTGGATCCCAAGTTCTGCCTTGGCTGGGGTGGGTAGGGGGTAGCGGGCGCCAGCAGAAGTACAGTAATGAAATTCATTTCCCATGGGCTTCATATCTCCCTCAGAAAAGATTTGGAGAAATTCAACTGAAGGGGCAAAATGCCAACTCAGGAACTGGGGCCCAAGAAATGTTTCCTCCTATGCTACCCCCATCTAGCACAATCCATCTGGGACTCCAAATACTCCTGGAGCACCTCCTCACTCCATCTACCTTCCTCAGTGGACAAGGGTCTAGGAAATAGGACCCTCTCCCTGGGGAGATAGTCCCCTCAGGGCCTCTTTTCTTCTCCACTAGCTCTGGCCTCCCCAGGAAAATTCCTGGACCTTTTAGTCCATCTATTGTCCTTGAAAGCTTTGAAGCCTACTTTCCCCATTAATTTAAAAAAATATGTCACTTTTAAAGCTACAATAAAATAAAAAATGGCTAACAGTGAGCATGCAGCAACATTTAAATTTGATATACTTAAGAAAACATTCAGCACGTGTCTGCATGGGTTTTGCTACATGGGAAATAAACACAGTGGGGTGAGGGGACAGTGGGGTGAGGGGGTGGATTGGGCTCTTAGGTGAGTTGAATGATGCTCAGGCATTGTCTTTCCCTTTTTGAGTTTCCAGATGTAAGCAGAGCAAAAAATGGGCCTTTTCAGGACAACACCCACTCCTGACTCTTGTTACAGTAACCTGGGCTCTAGCCCAAGGTTCTAAGAGGCCCTTGACCCTGGAGAAACTTGTAAGCCTTGCTATATCACCACCCCTTACTCCAGGAGAGTTCTATGCTGGGCCTGTCCCTGTGGACCTTACTGCCCAATGCCTGCTGCCACCAAGTTGGAGCTGGCACTCTTCCCTTGGGGTCTAAGGCACTCCATAGTCCAAGAATGAGCCAGGTTTCTGGCCCCTGGGCATCAGTACTGGGAGGTTTCATTCGCTGCCTGGAGGGTGGGAGGGGGGTCATCTCTGCAGAGGCTCAAGGTAGAAAGGACATGGGAGTAAGAAGGCAAGTGAGTTTTTAAGAAAAGGAAACATTCACAGGTCTCTACTGTAAGTGAAGAGAGGCCTGGGAGGAGGGCGAAGAGGACTTTTTTAAAGTGCCCAACTGCTGAAGGGTCATATCTGCAGAAGAGGAGCGCTTTTGTTTCTGGTTTCTTCCCGATCTTTTCTATTTCCTCTTCCCTTAAATGTAACATCTCGTCCTCTTTCCCAGTCTTGAGCAAGCTACTAGCCACCGATCTCCACTGTCCTTCGGTGTTAGTGATGGCCTGAACGGAGGTGTTGGGGAGAAGGCAGGTCAAATAGGATGCTCAGGACACACCTTGGCTCCCACCTCAGAGAAGGGGCCATCCAAGGTGAGACCCTAGGTCCCAAATTGGCCAGGAACTCTTGAAAAACGGCTATGGTAACACATGAGAAAGGAGAGATTCCCAACGATCAGGTTCCCCCAAGATGCCTCCCCAACCAATCCCCCATGCTGGGGCTCCCCACCCGGGTTTTGAGCTTAGTGAGGCTGCCAGAGCCCTGGGAGTGGGAGGTAGTGGGGGGGGGGGGGGGGGGGGGGGGGGGGGGGGGGGCGGGGGGAGGAATGGGGTACCTGCGGTGCGGCGCGGTTACCGCTAGGCGGCACGTCGGGCCCGAGCAACGAGGAGCAGTCGGCGAGGTCCTGCAGGTCTATGGTGGTGAGGGCTGCGCAGGGAAACCAGGAGACACGCACCCCGGGGGGACGACCCTGAGTCTGGGACCCGGCGGGGCGTCCAAGCCAGGGGGAGAGAAGCTCCTTCTAGCGTCGAGGGCCGCCCTCACCCAGCGCGGGGATCCCGAGGGGATGCGCGGACTTCAGGGCTCACCTGGGAGCGCAGCGGGCTCCAAGTCCACAGGGTCTGCGTACACAGACACCGGGCTGCCGCCGCCGCCGCAGCCGGGAAAGAGCTTTCGCGGAGGGGCGAACTAGTGGGGCACAGACACAGTGAGCGGGGGTCAGCCTGGCGGGGCGCACCCAGCCCGCGCCCGGCCGGACCCGGCTCCCGACCCCACCTTCCTCTCCACCTTCCCAGGC